CCAAACCTGAGTCTGACCTTTCTTCAAGAGAAAGTAGACAAGAGAATTTGCCAGCAAAGTGTAAACTAGACTTTCTTGAAGGAGACATTACTTTAAGGTCTGAGCCAACCCTTGGAACAGTTCTTTGCCATATTGAAAATGTCCTGCCTGATATTGGTGTTTCCAAAAAGAGTCGGGCCCCGTTGCCTCCTGCCAATTCAGCAGCAACTGGCAACCAGAACTCAAGCCAGCAACCAGAAGCTGTACTGAAGTCAACCAGTCAACCCACCAGACCGGATCAAGACAAGTCGTTAACTATTAATAGTAGCATGTCAACCTCATGTTTAACCCTGTCCCATGGAAAGTCTTCTCTAATCTTGAATCAAGATCTCAAGAAAAATGAAGTGCAGACTAAAAATGAACATTCTCCTCTGAGAGTGGAAGCAGGCCAAGGGTCAGGGCACCGGTCTCTGCCACAGGCCAGAGTTTCACCGATTGATGTTAAGTCCATCATTGTGCAGAATAATGGAAGTGAACATGAGAGAACAGGTGATACTGCTGCCTTCAAACCCTGCAGGTGAGGCCTCTCGTATAACTAGAGACCCTTAGAAGTAGTAACAGATGTCGATGGTTGGTTCCTGTTAGCCATTAGTTAAAATGCAAAGTTCTTGAGAATTGAGAAGGTTTTAAAGTTTGAACTAATGTTTGACACAGAGTTACTCTCAAGAGAAGTTTTTTTGTTGTTATTATCAATTACTCAATTTCAGTGGAGAGTAGAATTAGAATGTATCAGTAGTATTAGAATGATCTTCGCTCATGAATATTAATGATGTGAGATGAGGCACACCTAGTTCTCCAAACTCAGTGGTGTCCAGTCTTGCTTCTAGAGGGCTACTGTACTGCAAAATGTAGTTCTAACCTGCCCCATCACACTGGCATGGACTGTGTTTCCCAAAAGCATGAGTAGATTGTAGAAACCATTGGCACTAGTGGTCAGGGCCGGATTAACCATTGGGCCAACTGGGCACTTGCCCAGGGGCCCACGACATCTAAGGGGCCCTGGGCACCAGCGGCGGAGTGGTAATCGGGAGAGTCGGGAGTTTCCCCGGTGGGCCGGTAGTGTTTCGAGGCCGTGAGGGACGGCTTGATAAAACGGAGCGCATGTTTGCACTAAGTGCCTGTCTTATAATGAAAAAAGACGCCGATCACGTCACAGCTAAAGTGGCGTAGGTCGTAACGCGCTGAGTGCGTGAATGAGCTTTTGATCCGCAGCGCTCGGACCCGAGTTTGAATCCGCCTTTTGCCGAAGTCTCTTCTCCCTTTTCCCAACACATATGAGATGTAAAATGTTTAACCTAAAATAGGTCTCTGGCGTGTTATTTTGCCAACAAACTAAAATCGAAACCATGACATGGCTTTTTGCATTTATAAAACAACAAAAGACTTTAAGAATAGGCATCAGTGCTGGGTGATTTAAAGAAAAGTGTGCACTTCGCTCACGCGATCAGGATGGTCTTTTCTCCTAAATACAAGCTCAAGGGTTTATTTCTTGCAAGTGAAGAAATAAGGACAAAAGTATTTAAATTTTCCTAGGCCTATATTATAGTGTAATGTAGACTAAAATATACTTTTGAAATATTCATTTTCATTTATATACTAGTACATTTATAGGCTATATGGATTTTACGTCATAGGAATAATTATATAAATCATTATTATAATAATTGTTTGGGATCCTAAAACTCCATTGATAATGTAATGTAGACTGAGACTCAACTAAAAAGATGTTTGAGCCCTCTTTATTGTCCTGGCACAAATCAATGCGTTTTCTTTGTTCAATGAGCAGTTCATGGGTTGAAGCTCTTAATTTTGATCTCTCAAAGAGCACGAGATTGATGCATTTAACCTTAAAATGTACAAAATTTTCTTGCCCCCCTAGAGGAACAGTAAATCAGTAAAACTATAAATGCTATATCAAGGGTCCACCCAACATAGTTTTACAAATTCATATAGGAAAGAACAACCATTTATGAACTTTACTCCAGCATAGTTCAACAAAGTCAATTTTAATTCATTAAGTCAGTAAAACTGTAAATGCCATATTAAAATGTCCTCGGACAAAATATACATTTGGCCTGCTTAAGAGGGGGCCTACAAGACATTGTGCCCAGGGGCCTCTGAACTCTTAATCCGCCCCTGCTAGTGGTCCGTATGATCTACTTGTTTTTAGGTAATGCAGCCCTACAAGTTTCTAACAATATTGGAGACATTGATTATCTTGTTCAGGTGTGTTTATTTGGGCTTGGAGCTCAAATCTGCTAGAAGTTGGCCCTCCTGAAGCAGGATCTAGTTCCCCCGTCTTCCCTGAATTGTTGCTTACTGCTTGTGTGTTTGATAACCAACAGAACCCTTTGCTTGGTGTTGAAGTTGTCAATTGATGTGGCCAACTGCGTTTTTTTTCTTTCTTTTTTTTCTTCGTTTTGACAAGTAACATCAACTACTCTTATAACTGACTCTTATGTCTGGGTAATTTTCCAAAAAGTAGCAAGGTTATTATAAGTTATATATTATGGTGTCTGTTATAGACTACAACAAAAGTTCATGTAACTTATTACCTGACTGCAAGTTGTGCATATTGATCTACATCAGATTACACTCTGGACCCTAGATTACTCATTGTTGGAACTTCCATGTGCTCTTTCTTAAAAACACAATGGTATAAACTTTATCTTTTCAGAGTCTCTGGTGAAATTAATGGGGTGTTTAATTTCCCAGTGTGAACCTTCTCCTTTTACATAAATTCTAAAATGGCTATCCGATCATTAAAAACCACAGATATGGACACTTTCATCTTTGGATGAAAGGCTATAAAGGTTTCCATTTTTTTTACAAAGTACATTTAAAGCAATGTTTCCCAAACCTGTTCATTGAGGCACACCAAACAGTGCATATTTTGGATGTCTCCCTTATCTGACCCATATATTTTTGGTCTTGGAGTCTCTAATGAGTTGATTCAGGTGTGGTTGATTTAGGAAGAGTTGGAAAATGTGTAGTATTTGTGTGCTTCCAGGAACCGGGTTGGGAAAAAGCCAACGAATTCAGAGCTCAATGTATTTTTGTTCTTTTTTTTTTTTATAATTATCATCTTGCAGAGTCCTCTGATTAACTGATTTTTATTCCACACCTGTATTTTTAGATCGGCTTTTATAACTTGCAGCTCTCTTTCTCTTCTCAGGCCACATGCAGTGAAACCCTTGAGCACCACTGACAATCATCCAGACCTCAGAGAGACCCAAGACAGTTCCAGATCTGCTACAATTACAGATGAAATACAAGTCAAGATGAAGGTAGTGTAATGTTTTTATAATATTATAATAATATTATAAAAATAAATATTTTTATAATATCTAATATTGTGCAACCGTTTACCATGCATTGAACAGAAATCTGAGATGGTGTTTAAGATGTTGTTTTTCTGACTTTTTTTTTTTTTAAAGATTATATTTCTGTGTTCCAACTATCTTTTAGGCCCCAGAGGCTAAAGGGAGAGGGCCCTACTCCCAGTTAACCAATGAAGAACTCATAAACTTGTTGGAAAAGCAGAAGGTGCAGCTTTCACAAAAGGACTCTAAGATAGGGGAATTGGAGCTGTATATAGACAATCTTCTAGTCCGTGTCATGGAGAAGAATCCTGAAATCTTAATGTCCTTGACTTCGATGAAGAAATCTGTTTGAGGGACTGTACTTTAGTAGTAGAGGGTTTTGTATCTACTGTGCAATGTAATCACAAATATGGGATGAACAACAATATACAAGGTTGTGGGCAAATCACAGAGGCATTTCGCTAGACCACACTACTGAGCTGAAGATCAGGTTTATGTATACCTGATTTATGACATCTCGCACTAAACAGTGACAACATGAATGTTTATTATTTGGCTTCCTGCTGATCCACCTAAACATGTGACTGATATGATTTATGATTCATATGATTTATTTCAAGAATTTAAGTATTTTCCCCAAAGTTTTTTTACTGTCCACCTTTTCCATTTGATTTGCTAATATTCTTTGGTTGGTTTTCTTTTTTCATGTTATCATCTATTAAATGTTTTGGTCAAAGCATTCAATGGAAGTGATCGCTACATTTTCAAAATTGCTCTATATATCATATTCTTTATGTAAAATATTTTATATTGTTTATGAAGCTTACAAGTTGGATAATGTTTTGTAGACAGAGCACTGTATTGATACATATTGAAGCACTTTAAATGAATCAGGTCATCAATAATAAATATATGATCATTTGTATGTTATGCCTTTCGTCATGTAACTTTACAGCTTTATTATTCTCTTATTCTCAGAATGTATTATTCTGCTTTTGAAATAAAGAATGTCATAGGTGTGGCCAGGCTCACAACATTGTGTCTATGAGCATTTTTAACAAGGCAGGTTAGGCTTTTAATTATTACAGCCTAATGAAAAGCATTGAATGTCAGATGACTGTTGACATGCATCATTCCTGGTAATGTTCACATGCTGCTGTTTCTCTGAGAGAAAGACTAACCACATTTATTTTAGTCTTGCATTTGAAATGATAACTGGTTAATATAATATTACCCTAGCTCATCCTTGATATACTCATTGCATTTTACAGTAGTTTTATTGTAATCTGATTTATTTTATAACCGATATCTTGTCGGACACTAATTTCCTAGGATGGTAATTTGTTAACTAAGAATCAAATATTTCCAATTACAAAGGTATCAAAAATAACATTTATTACGTCAGAAATGCATAGAAAAGAATATTATTTGCTGGTGTGTTGAGTTTTGTCATATGCAAGACCTGTATTGATAAACTGTGATAACAGTTTTTGTACATTTCTTTTTTATATATATTTTATTTTCATTTTATAATAATAATAATAATAATTATTATTATTATTCGAATATATGTAGTTACAAAATAAAGGAACTTTTATTGACAACAGTCTTGTTTCCGCCCGGACCAATAACGTCATCGAGAAGCGCGGCAGCGTCCATATACAGGCATACAGGCAGCGTCTCGTTCAAAACCAAAACAAACGTACTCATGTCGCAAGGAAGGGTAATAGAATCAGCTTTCAGAAGTTTTTAATGTGCATAACAGGAGCAACGCATTTTGATTGTCTGCCATTGCATTACTCGCCGACCATTTGAAGAGCAACTGCCACCAGTAAGATCTTCAAAATCCCCAAATTTGTTACGTTATAACGTTAATAAATATTGTGTGTTTGCACGGATACTTGCGGAACAATGTGATTCTCTTTCGTTTGTTTTATATTGCATAACATTGCAGATTTGTAATTTGCTGATTAGAAACAAAGCGCTGTTAAATGCTTTTAATACGAATATAGAGATTTTCTGTTTTCTCATATGCAACGCTTGCAATAAGAGTGTGATGATGATGGACTAACGTTAGTTGTTGTACTTCTCACACAGGAATGCCAACCAGTTGCCCTGAGTGTGGCTCGTCCAATGTGGTAGAGGATGATCTGTACTCTCAGAGGCAGTGGGTGTGTGAGGACTGTGGCTCAGTGGTCGAGGAGGGACTTCTGACTACCACACTGAGCGATGAGACCCAGGGCAGAGGTAACCCAGCACAGGACATTTCGCTTTGAACTGATCATAATTCACTCTGCTTGAAAGCTTCTGCTTTGACACCTGTTTAACTTTATCCAGCTGTGCCCTATCATGCTTCCACGGAGGAGATCAAGAAACCGTGCAGAAATCTAATTGCTGGTAAGATGAATGGCTCACGTTTAATCATTATTAGGTAACACTTAACAATAAGATCCTGCTAGTTAATACATTAACTAACAATGAGCAATACATGTTTACAGTATTTATTCATATTTGTTAATATTAGCTAATAAAAATACAACAACTGTTCATTGTTTGTTAATGTTAGCTCAGGTCCATCAACTAATATTAACAGATAGAACTATAATGTATTTGTAAATGCTTAAAAATTAACAGTGGGACAGGGGTTGGACAATGAAACTGATACACTAGCCAATATAGTGTTGAAGGTTTCACATGTATACGCAGCCTGATGGCTGATCATCCATCAGTAAGAGCAGAGTGTGCGGGTTGAATTAGCAGAGCAATAGCACAGTTGTACAAACCCAATTCCATAAAAGTTGGGACACTGTACAAATTGTGAATAAAAACAGAATGCAATGATGTGGAAGTTTCAAATTTAAATATCATATTTAGAATACAACATAGATGACATATCAAATGTTGAAAGTGAGACATTTTGAATTGCCATGCCAAATATTGTCTCCTTTTGGATTTCATGAGAGCTACAAATTCCAAAAAAGTTGGGACAGGTAACAATAAGAGGCCAGAAAAGTTAAATGTACATATAAGGAACAGCTGGAGGACCAATTTGCAACGTATTAGGTCAATTGGCAACATGATTGGGTATAAAAAGAGCCTCTCAGAGTGGCAGTGTCTCTCAGAAGTCAAGATGGGCAGAGGATCACCAATTCCCCCAATGCTGAGGCAAAAAATAATGGAGCAATATCAGAAAGGAGTTTCTCAGAGAAAAATTGCAAAGAGTTTGAAGTTATCATCATCAACAGTGCATAATATCATCCAAAGATTCAGAGAATCTGGAACAATCTCTGTGCATAAGGGTCAAGGCCGGAAAACCATACTGAATGCCCGTGATCTTCGGGCCCTTAGACGGCACTGCATCACACACAGGAATGCTACTGTAATGGAAATCGCAACATGGGCTTAAGAATACTTCCAGAAAACATTGTCAGTGAACACAATCCACCGTGCCATTCACCGTTGCCGGCTAAAGCTCTATAGGTCAAAAAAGAAGCCATATCTAAACGGGAACCAGAAGCGCAGGCGTTTTCTCTGGGCCAAGGCTCATTTAAAGTAGACTCTAGCAAAGTGGAAAACTGTTCTGTGGTCAGACGAATCAAAATTTGAAGTTCTTTTTGGAAAACTGGGACGCCATGTCATCCGGACTAAAGAGGACAAGGACAACCCAAGTTGTTATCAGCGCTCAGTTCAGAAGCCTGCATCTCTGATGGTATGGGGCTGCATGAGTGCGTGTGGCATGGGCAGCTTACACATCTGGAAAGGCACCATCAATGCTGAAAGGTATATCCAAGTTCTAGAACAACACATGCTCCCATCCAGACATCGTCTCTTTCAGGGAAGACCTTGTATTTTCCAACAAGACAATGCCAAACCACATACTGCATCAATTACAACATCATGGCTGCGTAGAAGAAGGATCCGGGTACTGAAATGGCCAGCCTGCAGTCCAGATCTTTCACCCATAGAAAACATTTGGCGCATCATAAAGAGGAAGATGCAACAAAGAAGACCTAAGACAGTTGAGCAGCTAGAAGCCTTTATTAGACAAGAATGGGACAACATTCCTATTCCTAAACTTGAGCAACTTGTCTCCTCAGTCCCCAGACGTTTGCAGACTTTTATTAAAAGAAGAGGGGATGCCACACAGTGGTAAAAATGGCCTTGTCCCAACTTTTTTGAGATGTGTTGATGCCATGAAATTTAAAATCAACTTATTTTTCCCTTAAAATTATGCATTTTCTCAGTTTAAACATTTGATATGTCATCTATGTTGTATTCTAAATATAATATTGAAATTTGAAACTTCCACATCATTGCATTCTGTTTTTATTCACAATTTGTACAGTGTCCCAACTTTTATGGAATTGGGTTTGTACATAAAATATTGAAATCCACACAACATAATGGGAGACAGAGTTCAAAAGAGGCGCTTTTCCACTGTTTAGTACGTAGGGGTGGGCGATATGACCAAAATTGTGTTTCACGATATGACTAATTTTATTTCACGGTAACGATATATTTCACGATATAGTTATTTATATAGTTATCCTAAAAAAAAAAAAAATCGACAAAAAGGGCTTTGTATAATAAATAAACCCAAATACTTTAGAAATGAAAATTCTCATGCATTGCTTTACTTCATCAATCAGTTTTTAATATAATTATAATATATATAATATAATTATAATATTTTTTTACCACATGTGCTTATTATACTGCGTTTTTAACGGAGAAGGGTATTCCTGCACAACCGGAGACTGCACTGTTGTTTTAACAGGCTTGTTTTGCTCTTTTTGTTATATATGGCAACCCGTCAGTTCAGAAGTGACAAGAAGGAGAGCAGCAATATGAAAACCACACCGCAGCTACTGTTAGTGTTGTTTGTGTTTACTGTCAGTGTAGTTTAAATTATACACACCAGTGCGTCGAACACCGCGCGCTCCCTCTCAGTGCATGTGCACGCGCACGTCTTACATCAACAAAATGCGATCGATTAATTTGAGAGTGAAGTTAATCACGGATCGAATCAAAGGAAGATTTTATCAACTGGTTCAGTAGGCAATTGTTTGGAGTTAAAAGAATATATAACTCGCGCTGCATATTTAGTAATTTTGCCTCAGAAACAGGATTATACGTTTGTTTTAACAAGCAGGATGTTCATTATGCTGAATGCGATTTTCATGTTTAAAAAGTAACTATACATAAGAGAAGGAAAGATGCGGATAATAACTATATATTATTTAAGGTTATTTCTCGTAATAATATTGATATAGCCTATGAAATGTTGTTATCAAGTAACTTCATGCTTTCCCCGTTGCGAACGTGCACTCCTCTAAACTGTAGCCTGGGTGCTGCTGCTCTGCTCAAGTTGACGGCTGCCTTTCCCCCCGAACATATCACGTTAACAACAATCCCTTAGAAAATGTAATTCCTTTGTGGATCCTCTTGATCTGCTTTCTCCATGTTTCTTTGACAAATCTCAGCATCAGTCTCACGCGCGCTGCACGGGAGTTAATCACGCCCACTTATTTACATTTCGCGGTATACACGGAATAAAAAAATCTGTTACGACTGACGTTTTCTATCGCGGTAACGATATATATCGCCATATCGCCCAGCCCTAATAGTACGGTTCGGTTCGGTACGGCTCACTTGTGGTGCTTTTCCACTGCATGGTACAGTACAGTACGGTTCGCTTCAGGTCGCTTTAAATGGTACCTGGTCTGTTGAGGTTCCAAGCGTACCGTACCGGTACTAAAATGTGACGTGAAACACTGCAGATCACTGATTGGTCAGACAGAATCGTCACTACCAGCGTCACTACTAGCGTCATTGGATTTGCGACACGAAACACTTTTTTAGCAGTATTTTTGTTTTGCTGCCATCAGCCTCATTTTAAACACATTTTTCCGTCTAGCAGTTAAAAACAACCACATATCGAGAATCAGGAACACCATCCCCTCGATAGTCTCCATTGTTCCTGTGTTGTGGGTTTGAAAATGTGGCGCTTTTAAGATGATGTCATGGCAGTAGAGGCGCGCGCAAATAACGATCAGTCCCACACACTTTGAAGGTACTACTGCAGTGGAAACGCAAAGCGAGCCGAACTGTTCCGCGCCGAGTCGAAGCGTACTGAGCCGAACCGTACCGTACTATGCAGTGGAAAAGCGCCAAAGGATAACTTGTTGGTCTGCGTCTCTCTGGTTCATCTGTGACCAGGACAGTAAGTCTTTGTGGTGTGTCCAAAGCTATGATATTCAAGTTAATGTCTGCATTTCACCACATAGGATGAACCATGTCCAACAGGAGTAACTGTCGACACAAGAGGAAGTTGTCTGAGAGAAATGTATATCTATAGACCCCTTCACGGTTGACGTCACAGAAAAAAATGCGGTGCGCAGTGCGCATGTCGGGGTCAGAAAAGTTCATTCCATCGTGCTGTAACCATAGTTTAAACCAGCTACCGGAGAATTTCTCGTCAACATGCCTACTTGTTGCAAAGTTATTAATAATTATGCGAGTTAACTCGAGTCAGAATGTACATGTGCAAGGTTGCATTTGTCATCCATCACCGTGACATCAAGTGGACTTTTAAAGCTGAAATAATGAGTGGATTAAGCTTGGAATAACGAGAGAAATAACATGGATAGAACTTTCTTATCGGTGGATTAATGCATCAGTCAGTCAGTAACGAGACGACGGCTACTAAAATTAGGTAAGACAAAAAGTTTTATTTTTCGCAACTCGTGTGAAATAATATGTGACAATCGGGTCCAGTCGGGTTTGTGTCTTCCTGCCGGGTTCGGGTCCAGTTTTCAAATAATAGACGGGTCCAGGTCGGGTCCGGGCAGTACGTTTATGTCATTTCTCGGGTCTGCACGGGTCCGGGTCCAACTTTTGAAATGAACGACGGGTCCGGGTCGGTTCGGTGTAGCACATTACGGGTCTCTTTCAGGTCGGGCATGAGTTTTTGGACCCGTGAAGACCTCAAAGACAGTGCATAACTTGACACAATATCATGCCGGTCTGTTAGCCGCGCCATTTTTCTGACCCCATGCTGCGCGCGCACCCAACAGAGGATTCCAATGTGTACAAACATTGAAGGGGTCTATAGAGAGCTAATAATCTGATTTGAATTAAAAAAAACAACCCACAGCTGTCCAACTCTCTGCAGAATTAAACATGCACCTCCACTCTTATTTTTCCACCAAAACTGTTCATCAGCAGCTCCACAAAGTCAATATTCAGTCGAGCTGCTATAGCCAAAAATGTGGTCACTCGTAGCACTGCCAGATGTCGGTGTCATCAACGGTGCAAATCTTGGGCGGTGGACAATGTGAAACATGTATTGTTCTCTGATGAGTCCATCTTCTCTGTCTGTCCCACATACGAGAGAGTTACGGTGTGGGCAGCAACAGTCCAAGTGTTAAGACTTCTCCAGAGTAAAACCATGAATACACCAAGACTTGTGACAGAGTGGTTTGATGAACATGAAAGTGAAGTTGAACATCTCTCATGGGCTGCGCAGTCACCAGATCTGTATATTTCCGAGTCACTTTGGACTGTTTTGAAGAAAGATGTTTCCGCCACCAGCATCTGGTTGACCTGGCTGCTGTTCTGAAGAGGAATGGCTCAGAATCCCTCTGGCCACTGTGCTGGACTTGTATCTGTCATTCCCAAGACGAACGAATGTTATTTGGCTGCAAAACGAAGCCATGCTACACCGTACTAATAAATGATTGTGACCTAAAACCAGGCGTTTCTGTTTCATTTTCCAGCCCCTGTACTTTTCATTTTTGGTTCATGTTAACCAATGCAGTGAACTAATGTTGACAAATGGAACCTTATTGTAAAGTGTTACCTATTGTTGTTATGTAAACAGTCCCTTTCTAGTGTCTTGGTCTATGCCACTTTTGTATTATTTATGTACTACTGGCTTTTCATGGTTTTCATTTTTGTATGGACCGTATTATGGGATTGTAATTTTTCTCTTTTTTTCTGTCTCTCCAGGCTTCATCCGGGTGCGTGCGATGTGCCGTATCCTCAGGTTAACCAACGACATGGAGTCGGAAGTAGTGAGTCTTTTTGAGCGCGCTTACAATCTCCCGAACTTCCTCCATGTGACCTTAACCAAGAAAGAAGTCTTGGGAGGCTGTTGCATACTCTGCGTTTGTCGCCAGAGAAACTGGCATATTACCATTGGAACTGTTGCTTACCTGATGGGGGCAGACAATTCTGAGATCGGCGTGGTATATCAAGAGCTCATAAAGAGTCTGAACATTAAGGCCACCACTACAGGAATCACAGACCTGATGCAAAGCTTCTGCTACGAGTTAGTCTGACGCTGTCACGACTTCCACGATATTTTAGTCGATGTAAAAGTCTGTTTGTTTATTGTTTTTTTTAATTGTTTTTGTAGTTTCAAGCTGGGTCCTACACAGGTGGACGAGGTGCTCTCTGAAACCCCCCAGCGCCTGCTGGACCGGATGTCTGCTTTGATTGAACTTGCTGCTGATACCTGGATTGTGACGGGACGCCAGCCTTTGCCTCTCCTCATGGGATCAATGTATGTGGCCTGGCAGTCGCTGAATCCCTCGGTGAGTGACGTCATATTCTGATGAGTGTGTGTTTCTGAAAGCGAGACATTTGTGTTCAAATGATGCAGTTTGTAAGACAGTGAACTAGGACAACATAAAACAAGTGTGAATTACCATTCAGAACTTTTCTCTCTTTTAAAAAAAAAAAGAAATTAATCCTTTTTTTTCAGTCAGGACACTTTATATTGATTAAAAGTGACAGTAAATACATTTATAATTTTACAAAAGATCAAATAAATGTGGAAGTTCTTTGTTGAAAGTATGTAACATGATATAACATGAACTCACGCAGCACAGTTTTCAACATTGATTACGATCAGAAATGTTTCTTGAGCAGCAAAATCAGCATATTAGAATGAAATCTGAAAGATCATGTGACACTGGTATGGAAGCCTGTTTCTGTCTAATAAGGGGAAAAAAATAATGCTTTGGTAAATTATAATTATGACTTAGTCATAATTATGAGATAAAAAGTTGAAATTTTCAATTTTGTAATCAACGTTTTAGTCTCATTATTTCAATGTCATACATTTGTCAGTTCTATTTAGTTTTACAATTTTGAATTTGTATTTATCGTAATAGACCTTTTAAGTCACAATTTTGACATTGATCTCATTTATTGTAATGTCATAATTATTTTTTTAAATCAATTTTGATTTGTCACAATTTTGACATTAATCTCATAATTTCAATGTAATAATTTTAACTTTTAGTCATATTATAATTTACTTTTTAATCTGTTTCGATTTTGTATGTCATAATTTTGACATGTCAATTTCACCCTTTTGTCATCATTTTTAATCGTTTCACAATTTCAATGTGATCATTTTTATTTTTCATTAATTTGACTGTGATTTAAATTTAGTATGTCATAAATTTTGTTTAGTGTTTAAATTTCGACTTTTTAAATGCTAGTTTTTGACCTTTTGATCTCAGTTTTGATTTGTCAAAATTGACATACTAAATTTAAAATTGATCTGTCAATTTCGACATTGTCTTACAATTGAATTTTTATTTCATAATTTCAATTTACTATTTCAATTTATAATTTTCTAAATGTAATTTTGACTTTAATTTCTTTTAGTCTATTTTCAATTAGTCATAATTATGTTTTTTATTTTTTTTTAAATCATAATTTCTATTTTTAATCTCAAAATTGCGTCTCTTTTTCTTATGTGGTGGAAATGGGCTTCCTTACACTGAAGACTGGACTAATGATAGGGTTGGGAATCGTGAGAAATTTTCCGGTTCCGGTTCCGGTTCCGATTCCGGTTCCGCCAAACGATTCCGGTTCCGGTTCCGGTTCCCATTCAATTAAAATATTAGTAAGAGAAAAATCCACAATCCTTTTTGTGTTTATTTCTTATAGTACTTGACAAATTAGTTTAACAGACTGGTAATGTAAACAAACTCAAAATATTATTAAGCAATCTTTGCAAAAAAAAAAATTATATATATATATAGGGTATATATATAAAGGAAAAATTCTGCATTCTCTATAATAATTTAGACCTCTCCTTTATTGTATCTCCAACAGTGAAGAATACCCTCTCAGAAGGAGTAGAATATGCTTTAACACACATATGTGTGTAGAACAGATTATTTTTTAAAACGGTTTGAATGATTGATTCATTAAGACTTTACTTATTTCATTACTGGATAAATCGGCGCTCTAGCAGTTAATAAACAGAAATGCGTCTTGCGGAAGAACATTGTTGCCGGAGCTACTTCTCTCTGTTTATGTCCATGACGAGTCACGCAGGCATTGGGCTACTCCGCAGCAGCTGCGATCCGCCGGCCAGTCTAAAGAAGTCCGAGTATTAACGCTTAATACAGGCTTTACGTAGTGATTCAAGATAAGACAAAAACACGGTTTGAAAAAAAAAAAAACATTATGATGCACTCGCTCATTGTATATATTTTGTAAAATCTGAACACAAAAAATATACAGACTGCATCTGTTTTGACCACTACCGTCAATGTTTACTCAAACTATAATCTCACTAATTCTGTAACGGAAATCATTTGAATATGTGAAACAAATAAATATTGAGACTGTGTGATTGTAAAGCAGTTTCATATCGACAACTGCTCTCTCTCAGCGCAAACAGATTTGAATGTAGGCTAGAGAGAGTGACTCGCAGCGTGCGTGTGTCTGTGTGTGACAAATGCAGCGCGTGTGAGAGCAAATCGCAAATTAAGTGGTGAAGTTTTTGTCATTTAGGAATAAGACGGCGTCTTCTACTCCCAGCACTTCGCCCACATGATGATATCGCATCGGCATCAGAACCGTTTTCGGAACAGAAACTTAGGAATTTTGCACGGGTTCCGGTATTTTTTCAAAAACACAACCGGTTCTGGAAAAGAACCGGTTCTCGGTTCCCAACCCTAACTAATGATGCTGAAAATTACAGAATAATTCATATTTTAAAATACAGAACAGCTGTTTTAAATTCAGTTTTTGATCAAATAAATGCAGCATAGGTTAGCATAAGAGACTTCTTTCAAAAACATTTACAAAACCATACCAGCCCCACACTTTGAATAGTAGTGTAAACATGCATTTATTCTATTTGAGTGACCTTTGAGTGTTGTGATGAAATATATATATATATATATATATATATATATATAATTATTTTTTTATTTATTTTTTTTTTGCAAAAAAAGCATAAGCTTTACACTGTTTTTTCCTGCAGGGAAATATTGATTGAATTTATTCATGATTGTTCATCTTTTGCAGGCCCGCATGAAATACTCCTTCACAACGTTCTGCAAGATTGGAAAAGCACCAGAGCAGTCGTGGCGCAGAAGCCGAGATACGGCCCTGAAGCGGGTGAGCGAGCTGCTGGAGGTACTGTGTAAACTCGGCCGAGAGCTGCCGTGGCTGAGGGGCGTCCCAGTGGAGCCCAAAACCGTGACCACGCTGGTGGATGACATTCTGAAGCACCGCAGGGCTTTGCTCTCGAGGGCCGTTAAAAAATACCAACAACAGCTGCAAAATCAACTCTCAGAGACCCAAACGACAGAATGTGACAATGGCCCATCCGAATCGAACCGCTCCGAACCGCCTTCCTCAGAGAACTCTGACCAGGCCGAATGTGAGAATCCTGCTGATGAAGAAGATACGGAGTGTCATCTACCAGCAGGCCACTGGGGTAAAAAGCACTTGTTTTTACCCCCTTGCGTGAAGAGTCGCAAGCGACAGAGGGTGGACATTCCACAGCTGGAAGTGACCGGAGACGAAGACATATCGGACAGTGAAATTGAATCATACATTCGCTCTCCGGGTGAGATTAAATTGCTTGTAAAAGCTCAGAAGGAGCTAAAGCAAGTGTAATTTGTCATATCATTTACACATAATTTGTAAATGTCTGATTAGTTTTTATTTAAGATTAGTTTTTCGTTACGTTGATATTTATTTTTTGTTGCATCAATTTAGTTGTTTTGTAAATGTTCTGAATTTTTATTGATAAAAATAATTTTTGTCTGAACTGGTATGTTTCTCCATTATTATTTTTTTGTACTGTTTTATATTACAGAGCAATGCCATTTTATCCTGGTTTGAATCAGTTAGTGCTGTTATGAATAGCTGCTAGTGCAGGAAGTAGTTTATAATCTTGCCGGAGATTTCATATGATTTGATTGATGCTGGATGCCTTTGACGTAAATGCGTAAATAAAAGCCTATAACGCCCTGGTGTCCAGAACATGATTCCCATTACACAAGAGTAGATGTTAAAACCTCATGCTGATTTGTACTAGGCTTTCACAAAGATAAACACAAACTAAGACGTAGCTTTACTGTAAATTATACTACTCCGTTCATTTACGCTTCTTTCCATATGGTGATATGAATCTCCTTCTCTCCGGCATTAACGACTGCAGTGTACTTGGCACGTCAGCACACACGACTGCCCAGTAAACCAGCACGACAACCATCTGGAATGAGCCGAATAGGGGACATCTCTAGGGTCTTCAAGTGGGTACCTTCTGTTCTCAGTATTTCATCGACTAGCCCACGACACCTCAGGAGGGCTCAACAGTGACTCTGGTGTTTTTACTGTGCGATGCAACTCTTGGCCACTGAATCCGACGTCTCTGAGGTACCGGGTTGTAGAGTGCGCCACAAATTTTTGACAAACCCACTACCACTGGATAAACCTGGACTCTCCATCATTGCTGTTCTACCTCAGTGGCCAGATGAGCATACTTGGTGGTTGCTCACCTGGACGGAGGAATATTGTCTTTTGTGTGTAATGTTTTGCTAGAACAGGTGGCAACTTATTGGTCATGTTATGCTTGCTTTTCAATTATAAAGCCAAACATCGCAATACTTGGTCATGGCGCCAAGTAAACCGACCTTGGCTAAGCACTACCTTACATCCTGTCAAAATGTGCCTTAATGTGGCAGGCGATGAACACAAAGGACAAGAGGGATCCTCTCCTACCCAAAGGTTTAGGTTCTGCGGTGATGGGAGAACATCATATGTTGACCTAATAAGGAAACTGATCCTACTCTCTTCCATTGACCAAAGGTCTTGCCACCCACACTCTCCCATCTCATCCACTCTCCCTACTTGGCCTGAGAAATGGCCTTTATAACCCTCATCCCCTCCTCCTGCTTTCGCACCTCGTTGACTACCAGCTTCCTCCTTTGAGCTGGGCCTGCCATGTACCATTTATGAGGAGCTAAACTGAGCCCAAAACCCCCTCTTCCATGCTGTACCTGTCCCATGATATCACCCATGTGAAGGGCAGCCTTTGCCTCTGCCACAGATTTCTTTGCTGACCACTTTCTTCCAGTTTTTAACACAGGTGGTGCCTCCCTCACACATTTGTCACGTGACTCAACTAAGGTCCTTTCCAGTCTGACCCTGGCACACGTAAACTCCTCCGTTAAAGCAGAGACTGGCAGCTGCAATATTCCTTTACTATAAAGTCCCACTCTGCTGAGGCAGCGTGGAACTCCCAACCATTTTCTGATGTATGAACATATTAATGCTCCCAGCTTATCCACTGTTGACAAAGAAACCTTGTACACGGTCAGTGGCCACAGCAACCATGGCAGTAGACCAAACTGAAAGCACCAGTTTTAGTTTGTCTGGTAGAGCACAGCTGTTTATGCTCTTCAACCCTTCCACTGCTTGTCGTCTAACTTCTCCCACTTGAACTGTGTCCTTTAGATCCCCATCATACCATCTCCCAAGACTCTTCACTGGCTTCTCAGAAACTGTTGGTATTGCTTCACCATTAATGAAGAATATTTTATCTTCTACCTTTCCTTTAACTATCGAGATGCTCCTTGATTTAGAGGGCTTAAATTGCATTCATGCCCATTCAATATAATTGGTTAACTTACCCAACAACCGATTAGTGCAGGCTACTGTTGTAGTTAGGGTTGTCATGTCATCCATGCAGTAGCGGAGTGGCAATCGGGAGAGTCGGGAGTTTTCCCGGTGGGCCGGTGATGTTTCGAGGCCGCGAGGGCCGGCCCGGTCTGGATAAAATGTATTTATTGGAAGTTCGCCATGGCCCAAGCTAAGGGAAGAAAACTTCTTTTTTTTTTTTTTTTTTTTACATTTTATATAACGGAGTATATATTTGCACTAAGTGCCTGTCTTTACAGCAAAACGACACCCGTCTTGAAACAGCCTCAGTGGCGTAGGTCGTAGGGCGTAAAATACTTGAAAACAGCTTTTTGATGCGCTTAACGCAAGTTCGAGTCCGCCTTGCCGAACTCTCTCTTCTCCCTTTTCCCAACACAGATATGTAAAGATGTTAAATGTAAAACCTAACATTAAGGTCTCTAGCATTATATTTTGCCAACAAACTAAAATTGAAACCATGATATGGCGTTGCGCCATTATAATAACTGACATTAGAATAGCATCCAGTTTGTGCTGCGTGATTACTTTGCTCACGCGATCATCATCAGGCTGCTGGTGTTTTCTCCTAAATAAAAGCTCAAGGGTTTATTTCTTGCAAGTGAAGAAATTAGGACAAAAGTATTTTAATTTTCCTATATTAGTGTAATGTAGGTTAAAATATACTTTTGAAATACTCATTTACATTGTGGAAATTGCAGTAAATTGCGACAGACAACTTCTCACTTTGAGCACACGAATGCGTGTGTCGTTTATTATTAGAAAGAAAACATAATAGCAAATGGCGCTGACATGCGTCCCACGTGAACACGCGTTCAGAGCATTTAAAGGGAACGCAATCCCTTAACAGTCGTGAAGAACAGAGTGCTGTGTTTACAACCAACAGTGTATAGAACTACGCTTAACAAAGGTGAATTATGTATCTTGCATTCACCACACACTTCCCCCAGAATTCACCGTATCAGGAAAAGAACTAAACAGTCAACGGGGAGGTGGGCGTATTAGCCGGCCACAACGGCTGCGCTGTGCCGGAGGTCGAGGAGACCCCACTGCAACCTGCGTCCCGTTATGACACGGGTGTGGGGCACTGAGTGTGGGAGGTAGGGGAGCAAGGGGTGGGGGCAGAGCAGGAGGCCGTCCACGTCGTGGGGGCTGAGCCAGGTCAATAGGCCTAGCTATGTCCAAGTGAGCGGGCTTAAGGCGATCAATGGAGAGTCGCTCCGGTTTGCCACCCCTGTCCACCACAAAATGTTTGTCCCCTGTCTCCAGAACCCGGAACGGGCCCTCGTAGGGTGGGCGTAGCGGTCCCCTGTGGGCATCGTGGCGAATGAAAACATAGTCAGCCGTCTGAAGACCAGTAGGAATGTGCGACTGAGGGAGGCTGTGACAGGAAGTTGGGACAGGTGCGAAAAGCCTCGCATTGTCCAATAGAGTAGATCGCTGAAGAGTAGCAGACCAGGGAACTGTGGTGTTAGGGACGAAATCCCCTGGCACCCGCAACGGCTGTCCATAAACAAGCTCAGCGGATGAGGACTGAAGGTCCTCCTTAGGTGCAGTCCTGATGCCCAACATCAACCACGGGAGATTGTCGACCCAGTTGCTGTCTTTGAGGCTGGCACGCAGGGCAGCCTTCATTGCCCTATGAAAACGTTCACAGAGTCCGTTAGCCTGCGGATGATATGCGGTCGTGTGGTGGAGTTTTACTCCGAGGCTCCGTGCGACAGCGCCCCACAGCTCAGACGTGAACTGCGCACCTCGGTCAGAGGATATGTCCGAAGGGGTGCCGAAACGGGCAACCCAGGTGGCAATAAATGCCCGTGTCATCTCGACGGACGCCACTGACGTCAGTGGCACAACCTCAGGCCAACGGGTGGTCCTGTCAACCATGGTTAACAGATACGTGAAACCATGAGAGAAGGGCAGAGGACCAACCAGGTCCACGTTTACATGGTCAAAACGCCTCTCAGGAACCGGGAAAGTCTCTAACGGGGCTTTAGTGTGGCGGTGTACTTTGGCACGTTGGCACTCAACACAGGTGTTAGCCCAGTCCCTAACATCCTTCTTGAGACCGTGCCAAACGAACTTTGCTGCAACCAGTCTCTGTGACGCTTTTGAACCTGGGTGGGAGAGACCATGGATGGCATCAAAAACTTGTCGTCTCCATCCTGAGGGAACGACCGGCCGGGGACTACCTAAAGAGATGTCACACAGGAGTGTAGTGCCAGCATCACCAAAAACCACGTCTTCGATCTGCAGCCCTGTATTTGAGGTCTTCAGGAGTTGCACATCCGGGTCTGTGGACTGAGTCGCCGCCATGCGTTCGTAATCCAAACCAAGATGGACTGCTCCTGCCACAGCTCGTGATAGGCAATCCGCCACACAGTTGTTCTTACCAGCAACGTGCTGCAAGTCCGTGGTGAACTCTGAAATGTAGGACAGTTGACGTTGCTGGCGGGCGGACCACGGCTCAGCTACCTTGGCCATGGCAAAAGTTAGTGGCTTGTGGTCCACAAAAGCAGTGAAATGTCGGCCTTCCAGCATTGAACGAAAGTGTCTGATGGCTAAGTAGAGACCCAGCAGCTCCCGATCGAAAGTGCTGTACTTCCGCTCACAGGGGCGCAGCTGACGGCTAAAGAAAGCCAGCGGCTGCCAGGCCCCACCTACCCACTGTTCATAAACAGCACCCACAGCGTAGTCTGAGGCGTCCGAGGTGATGGCGATGGGGGCTGTAGGAGAAGGATGTGCCAGCATGGTGGCGTTCGCTAGGGCAGCCTTAGTGGCAGCAAATGCCTCGTCCCTGCTATCAGTCCAGTCCACATCTTGCTTGGGTTTACCTTTCAAGGCCTCGTGCAAGGGCCGCATGAGCTGAGCAGCCCGAGGAATGAAGCGGTGGTAAAAATTCACCATCCCAAGGAACTCCTGCAGGGATTTGACAGTGAGCGGACGTGGGAACTGTGTGACTGCCTCCACCTTTGATGGGAGGGGGACTGCCCCGTCCTTAGTGACTCTGTGTCCCAGGAAGTCGATGGTGGAGAGACCGAACTGGCACTTGGCGGGATTGACAATTAATCCATGTTGGCTAAGCCGCTCGAAAAGGGTTCGGAGGTGTGCCAGGTGCTGAGACTTGGACGTGCTCGCTACCAGGATGTCATCCAAGTACACAAAAAGGAAAGGCAGGTCCCGCAAAACAGAGTCCATGAGGCGCTGAAAAGATTGGGCAGCATTTTTAAGGCCGAACGGCATGCGCAGGAACTCAAAAAGCCCAAATGGCGTGATCACTGCCGTTTTGGGAATGTCCCGTGGGTGTAC